CATTAAGGAATCTTGAAATAAATGCATTATTATTTTCACAAAAATATTACTCAGAACAACCACTTTCAACATTGATAATAATAAGAAATGTATCTTGAACAGCAAACCAGCATATTAGAATGATTTCTGAAAGATCATGTGACACTGAAGACTGGATGAAAGACTGCAGAAGATTCAGCTTTACCGTCACAGAAATAAATCATATTTTAAAATATATTAAAATAGAAAACAGTTATTTTAAATGTTAATAATAGTTCATATTACTGTTTTACTGTATTTCCAATCAAATAAATGCAGCCCTGGTGAGCATAAGAGACTTGTTTTCAAACTTAAACTTTTGATTGGTATGTGTGAGTATATATATACAGATTTTTACTGGTTTGTTTTTAAAAAGCAGCCAATCAAAGAAATTATAGTAGTTTGAAATTTTGCCCCAGCAATTGTAAGTTTAGATATAACTTACAACTCAATCATCCCAAAGGAGCAACCCGCATACTCAAACCCTCCCTAATGTTTTGTTACGTCATATGATGAATCACAAACACATGTCAATTACCACAATGTCCCCCACAGAGGCCATGTGCACTCTTGTGACTCGTCTCAGCGAGTCAAAGGATGAAGACCTTTGTGTGGCGGTGTTGCGCCACTGGCTGCAGGATCGTGGCACTATGGCACTAAAAGGCTCATGGGGGCCCTGTGTGTCTAAGAATAGCTCTGTGGAAGAGGAGAGGAAGAGTGCTCCGATTAGCCGCGGTCTGAGTATCACAAGGTTTAGAGGGCTCTGCTGCGCGGTACAGGACATTATCCCAAATATCAGCTCCGTCTTCCCCCTCAAGCTCAAATACCTCAATGACATTTTAATAAGTGGTCAGCTGAGATAAGGGCCACTGAGGCAGTAATGACTGATAATAGCTGACCAGAGGCTGGACGTTGTACGCTGGGGTAAAGGCCCGGGGCGGAGTCTGGGCCACTGGCCAGAAGCCATCACACACACACACATATGTGCGCACAAAGACGTGCGGGAGCAAGATGCTCGCACACACACGCAGCAGGGGTCCCTCTGGCTTCAGCCAAGCAAAGAGCTCTTTCATCCCGAGCATCAAAGTGCCAGGCGAATACGGAGAGTATTAAATGTCCTTATGAGGAGTGACACACAGCGAAGCAGCATTCACTTTGACATTGAGTCCTCCGCTGCTATACACCATGACTAAATGGCTTATGTCCCAAACTTGTGGCCTCATATGATCCTAAACATTACAGCAGCAAAGAAACTGACAGCGTTCATTTCAACGCAAGTCCTTATACATCACCAGGGGCCTCCGAGCCTTTTGTCATATTGTGTTGCCAGCTAACAAAGTCACTAACTTTGCCGGGCCATCTGAAAGAAACCTGATATGGCACATATTATATATACAAAGTGAAACGGAAATATTGGTGCTCAGAGACAACAAATGTATAGTTAAGGAGGCAAATGTATTGTGTGAATTTTTTTGAATTTTACAAAGTTGATAAAAGTTGATGCAAAACCAGAAATTCTGTCATCATTTACTGTCCTTCGCGTAATTCCAAACCTCTATGACTTCTGCAGAACATAATAGAAGATATTTTAATAATATTTAAACAGTTTTTTTCCTCATACACTAAAAGTCAGTGGGATCCAAAACAACACATTGACCACACTGACCTTCATATATATAATATAACACAGAGAATTGTTTTCGAAATATATTCTTACATTTACATTTATTCATTTAGAAGACACTTTTATCCAAATCAGCCTACAAATGATTCATTAGGCAATAACTAATGCTAGCAATACAAGTTTCAAACACTGTCCAGAACAGTACAAGCTTAGGATATAAGAAATAGTGAACGGAAAGTGAATAATAATAATTATTATTTTATTTATTTATTTATTTTTTTAAGTCAGCAGGATGCAGTTAGGTGCAATGAGTTTTCAGCCATTTCTTTAATATTGTCATGGATTCATCTGTCAGGAGACAGGTCAGGTTTAGAACAATAAGAGAGTGAGTAAATGATGACAGAATGTTTGCATCAGCTATCCATAATGTCCAATTTTTGTAAAAAAAAAAAAAAAAAATAGCACTGCTGCTGGCAACCGCTGCTTGCAGGAATTTGTCCGATTAGTTGTCAAGTTCACCATGCGCAGTGTTCTGCTACAAACTTCTACAGAGAGTCTTGCTGGGCTTTTGGTCTGACAGCAAATGAGAGAATCATCTGGGATGTGTTCTTTCTTGCTGAGCAACTCTCCCTCTCTCTCTCACTGTCTTTCACTGCTTGGCTGACTCTCGCTCCATGTCCCTCGTTAGCTCTAACACACTGTAACGAAACACAATTACTGTTAAGGGGGGAAGAAAAGGGGCCGTGACAGGCAAGATAAAGAAACTTGTGCTGGCAAGCCGCGCTGAAGAGGCATTAGTGAGCCAATGTTTCTGTCCCATTCAGCACGCCTCACACTCCAAATCACACAGGCATACTCTCATCACACGCACTATACTCGGTTCTAACAGGCAAACCTGAGTCTGTGTGTGGGAAATATTTCATATATTTAACTGTTGAATCAAAAATACCATCATGAACATGGTGATACTCAGAAATAAATAGCTTAGTAGTATGTTCAGCTCTTAGGAAAATATGTATATAATGCACTCACATATAAAATGTCTGTGAAATTACCAGTATGAAGATTATTGCTCTGGAAGACAAGAGTGTTTCTAACAAAAGTCACTGTTGCGCTCTTTATAGCCTAGAAGCCCATTACGACTAGGGCCGCTTGTCAATCAGGCTATTGTTGGCGTGTGTAGAGCCACAGACAATGGCTCTTTGTCTCTGCACCAGTGTAGACGGCCTGGCTTGGCCTCCGCCACTAGAAGTCCTTCTCTGTTTACTGAGAATAAATCAATCTTTTCAGCTCGGGTCTCCTTTGGTAAACCTCACACCACAGCCCTACAAGACTGCAACAGCAGATACGTGCGAGTACAAATGGGCACTTTCAGATGCACCTGCGTTTGCTTTGATTTCATCTTTATACCTGTGTCGCTCTGGACAGGAGTTTATTTTCTTTGATCCAGGCAGCTGCGAAAGACACCTTTGTATTCGATATGAAATAACCTCTATGACTAATTTCTTTATTCAAAACACTTTAAGAGTCTTCAAATGACAAATTCATTATTTACCACACCTTACTGCGCCACAACCAACCCTAAAGTTTAATATTTAGTAGTAAGAGTGTGTAGGTAGTGCTGATACCATCCAGTGTGTGTTTTAGGAGCGCGGCGGTCACAGAGATGTTTCTGTGGCATTGTTCTTTCCCCACCCCCAATGCAGCCGAACTGTTTCAGCTGCAGGCACGAGGAGGCTTTTGTGCCTCTCCCACCTCTTGAGTTAACAGCCTGGGTCAAAGCTAGGAGCAGGACAAATGTCCTAAGGGAGAGGAGAGGAGCAGACAGGAGCAAAGAGGAGAAGTGATTGAGTAAGATGAGAAAAGATGAGCAGAGAGGAGAAGAGACATTATGGCTCTGGTCTTTTTGAATCCCACCCTGCTCTGCTGGACATAAACAAATAAACATGTACTCACACCCACACCGAGCAGGAGAAGAAAGAGAGAGAGGGAGGGAGAGAGAGAGAGAAAAGAGAGGGAGAGAACAGCCAGCTGTTGCCATTGCATCTCAGTGTGAGGCGAATGAAAGCTCATTAAACTTCAAAGATCAAATGAAAGCTTGTAGTGACAAGGCTCCTTTGTAGAGGAGATGCAATATGTCTCTTAAGAATGAGGATTTAGAAAGGAATCATATTTTAGACTCTAAAAAAAATGATACCTACCTAATTAAAATTCATGGAATCCACCTACATTTTTCCAGATGATTACATTAATCTCAGCGTATAAGCAACATGCAATTGTAGCAATTCTGACTCTGAGATTAATATTCTAGCTACTTCAGCTACAGCTTCAGCACCATCAAGGTCAATGTAAATAGAAGAGAAAGAAAACCAATCTTAGACTACAATAGCTCCCAGATTGTGTTTAAAAGCGATGCTTTTTCTCAGTTTGACTTCCCACATCACCCTGTATGAATATAATACACATTTAAAGCAGCAATAGCACGATTTTGCCAAGAGTGTTTGTGTACACTCAGAGAAACTCACGCTTTGAAGTGCCAGAGAAGGGTTTGGTCTGCAAAACACCTCCACTGCCCTCTTGTGGTTTCTCAAAATAAATAAAAGTTTAAGCTGGAAAAACCCTGAACATCTTTGTATTTTCAGATAATCAGGTAATAGAGGCCTAAGGCTAGACACTCTAGAGTGGAGGATCCCATCGCAAATGGAAAGGGACTCTCTGGATAATCTAATGGGCTGTATACCCCCAACAGAGACATGGTTCATTAGATTATTCAGAGATGGGATCGCTCCATTGCCTGTGTAAGTAAATGGTTTGCATTATACACAAGCCCTGCGCTGTTCCACATGCTGAACAGCTAAGGGGCCAAAGAGATTCTGATAATGACCTCCTCTCAGGCAAAACACAGCCTGCAACATAACCACTCTTCATGGGAACGCTTTGGGGCCCAGAAACATACACAGTGCACTTCTTCCAGACACGTTTTCACTTGAGGTGGGTGGGCTCGGAAAGCTGAGATGTGTTCCAGCAGAGATAGCGCAGATGTGTTAAAAGTGTTTTAAATATTTGAGCTGAGAATTCAGTGACTGCAGAGATTAGCAGGATGATTAGACCCCATTTGCATTTACAGATGCAATATTGTGAGTGTGAACTGCAGGGGTGTGCTAACTCTGACACCATCAAGCTAACACTTTTTTAATTGCCTATCCACTAGATATCGCATGACGTGCCATCCGGAAGAGTTCTGAAAGATTATAAGTAGCGGAAACTTTCTGAAACTTGAATAATTGACTGTCTGCTGTCTACGGTTGGCATATAGACTCGGTTTAAATTATGCTAAAAATGGTACGTTCTTACTCACTGAGACACATGAGTGACTGGAACGAGCGAAATCTCTCGCTCCGGCTCGGTTTCCATATCATCTGCGATGCTGCTGCTCCTCTGGAGCGTGGGCCGAGGCTGCACTTCCAAAATCCCAGGCTTTCTCCCTAAAGACACACAAAACACACACATCATTTCAGACTGAGAAGTCTTTGCATTTTCCAATTTCAACAAGCCAACAAAGTTTTGTTACCCACCTGGTGGTGTAGAGAACTGGAAAGAGGATAGAGAGTTCCAGGATGGCACCCGCTCTGTGAGGAGAGAGATCAAGCTCAATGCTTTCAAAATGGCACATTTCAAATCGAATGATGTGTATTTATTTTATACTGTGATGGATATGAAGGTTTACATACAAAAAATGGCATGTGGTTCAATTAAAGAGTCAGTAATACAGTGGGGAAAATATTTATTTGATCCCCTGCTGATTTTGTAAGTTTGCCCACTTACAAAGAAATGAATGGTCTGTAATTTTTATGGTAGGTTTATTTTAACGGATAGAGACAGAATACCAACCAAAAAAATCCAGAAAAAACACATTATATAAAGGTTAGAAATTGATTTGCATTTCAGTGAGTGAAATAAATATTTGATCCCCAAGCAAAACATGACTTAGTACTTGGTGCAGAAACCCTTGTTGGCAAGCACAGAGGTAAGATGTTTTTTGTAGTTGGTCACCAGGTTTGCACACATCTCAGGAGGGATTTTGATCCACTCCTCTTTACAGAGCCTCTCTAAATCCTTAAGGTTTCTTGGCTGTCGTTTGTCAACTCAAAGTTTCAGCTCCCTCCACAGATTTTCTATAGGATTGAGGTCTGGAGACTAGGCTAGGCCACTGCATGACCTTAATGTGCTTCTTCTTGAGCCACTCCTTTGTTGCCTTGGCGGTATGTTTTGGGTCATTGTCATGCTGGAAGACCCATCTTCAATGTTCTGGCGGAGGGAAGGAGGTTCTCGTCCAAGATTTTACAGTGCATGGCCCTGTCCATTTGTCCCTCAATGTGGTGAAATTGTCCTGTACCCTTAGCAGAAAAACAGCCTCAAAGCATAATGTTTCCACCTCCGTGCTTGACTGTAGGGATGGTCACTTTCTCCCAAGCCTTCTCTGAATCATTTAGATGTTAGCCTGTACATGTGCCTTCTTGAGCAGTGGGACCTTGCTGGCGCTGCAGGATTTCAGTCCATTGCGGCGTAGTGTGTTACCAATGTTTTGCTAGGTGACTGTGATCCCAACTGCCTTAAGATCATTAACAAGCTCCTCCCGTGTAGTTCGGGTCTGATCCCTCACCTTTCTCATGATCATCCTTACCCCACGTGGCGAGATCTTGCACAGAGCTCCAGACCAAGGCCGATTGATAATTGTTTTGTATTTCTTCCATTTCTGAATAATCACACCAACAGTTGTCTCCTTTTGGTCTTGCCCATGGTGGTGGGAGAGGTTGGAATGGAAGATACAGATTGTGTGGACAGGTGTCTCATACACCTAACGAGCTGACATTAGGAGTAACTTCTTAAAGTGGCAGGACTAATCTGTGTTCCACATGGGCACATAACTAATCTGTGGGAGCCAGAATTCTTGCTGGTAGGGGATCAAATACTTATTTCACTCACTGAAATGCAAATCAATCTCTAACCTTTATATAATGTGTTTTTTCTGGATTTTTTGGTCGGTATTCTGTCTCTATCTGTTAAAATAAACCTACCATAAAAATTACAGACCCTTCATTTCTTTGTAAGTGGGCAAACTTACAAAATCAGCAGGGGATCAAATATTTTCCCCACTGCATCAATTTGTCTGTGAAAACAGCAATAAAATCAAACAGGCATAGAGGGAATGGTAGTTAGCAAGTGAGTACAGACACATATAGACACTAACTGGAGCTCACCACATCTTCTGTGTGTGTTTGCCCCTTCTGTGAGAATGGAGAGGGGCAATGAAGGATATCAGAGGAGAGATGCTTCAGGAGCATGAAAGGTGAAAAACAGAAGAGCAAGAGAAATGGTCAGCAGTATCTTAGTTTATTGCTGGTAATACCTGACTGTTGAATACTGCACACTGTATCTGGTCCACCGTCTTTCTCATCATCTAAGGAGTCATAGGTTATGGAAGGTATGGTGGGAGAACTCAATCCATCATCCCTGTCATAACTCTTCATTTTCTTCCTCATCTTCACCTGCCCAAAGAAAAAAATCTTTTTTTTTTTTTTTTTATTTCATAAACTC